TTSATGRCAGCYKGGTCTGGTCCCTGGTGCAAATCCTGGCTAGKATCCTACCGTACAAGATCCTACTGGATACGGTTTAGGATCCTATTTTTTACTTAGGATCTTATATAWGAATGTGATCCTGTATAAGATCCTTTGCAGGACCCTGCTCAGSATCCTAGTTAGGAKCCTGTTCCTACCTAGGAAYCWATCTAGGATCCCATCCTAAATAAGATCCTACAGGATCCTSTCTACGATTTGCACCAGGCAATGCAAAGAACATTAATTGCTTACTTGGGAAGTATATTTATGAACGTTGATAATATTGATCCTAACTCCATTTCTTGAATTCTTGAAAGATGTTTTTTAACCTGGTCAAGAAAACAAAACGTTTAAAAAAGAAAAATTAAACTATGTAACACACATGCTAACGTACCAATTTYAGTCCTTTGAAGTATTTTTCTTTGCGATGTTGGTTGTGGTGTTTGTATATAATACACTTAACAGTGTTCATTTCTTGCCATAATGGATTTTTAGTCACATTTCTGGCCATGCATGAAAGTTGTTTTCTTAAACTTTCGACAAGTTCTAAACATACAAATCAAATGAATGATGAGAGAAAATAAAGCATGGATCACAAATTCAACAAGAACTAGAATAAGATCAACCTAATTATATTCCTACTAGATACCTTGATTAACATTTCTAGTTRTACAAATTGYAGTATTAGTTGGTAATTCKCCAGTTCTGCGAATGTTCCATGCGTCCGCCATRTTTCTTTTTGGTGAGTAACACAGCTGAGCTCTTTGAGCCCGTGGTGCATAGTCTTGGGTTGCCTTGGGTTACCTGTGCTGTGGAATTGTCGAATTTCTGATTTGCAATCTTGAATCCATATGCTTCCTTTTAGACTGAACTTTTGAAAATATGAGAACAATAGTTTTTATTTTGATAAATAAATAGCACGAAAACTCCGTCGTTGTGTCGAAACTCCGAACTATGACATCACTAATCTATGACGTAACACTCGTTCTTATTTCAGATATGAAAAGCGCGCGTTCATCGCGGGAAAAATATTTTGTGCTGGTAAAGATAGTCAACGCAAAAACCTTATCAACTGCTCTTGTTGAAAGGATGCTCAATGGTATGAAATGATCACTATTGCTGAATTATCAAAACTGTTTTTAAAAGTCGTTTTTTTCTAATTTTTCAGTTTAAATTGTGCGGCGTCGAACTTCACCGGAAAGAAATCTACACATCGTTATCTCTCATCCTTTCGATATTCTTGTTCGCCATTCTCGTTAACGACTTCATCGCTGTACTCACGGTTGAGACACCAGAGAACAACTCACATAGCTTTACGTTTTCAATATTGGTGAGWAAAAATAATAGGAATTCGTTGCTTTCATTTGGCAGGAGTATAATTRCWYTTTTTTTCATTCTTCAGATGACACACTGCATTGCATTTACGCTGTCAATACTAGGGTGTTTATATCATAGTCTATGTGAAAAAATTGTCGGTGTTTACGTTGGAATGATATCTGCAGGTAAAACAAGTTGTTGAGTTAGAATCTCTTTTCATTTCATTTTCTTTGCACATGATTTCATTCTGCTTTTTCTACTCTATTTATATACCTAACRTTTAGATTTAAATTTCTTTCAGCTTTTAATATGCTGATATTTATCCTAAGAATTATATTCGAATTAGTCTTTTTGGAATTCCGCCCGGAAGAACTGGCACATTCATCGTAAACAAGAAAATTATAATAGATAGGGTGAGTAGATAGTCTAACATATTTCTGCAAAATTTTGTAAAAAGCATATACTTCAATATATAATATAATATAATCTTATCAGATTCAAGGCATAAGAAAATAAGAGATAAAGTGTAAAAAAATGCTGTAAAAAAATCAAAGTTCCAACGAAACATAACGATGTTACGGTTCCGAACCCTGTACGTTGGGGTGAAAACGCAGCGCCTTAACAAGATGCGCCGCTGGACCACGCTCATTTACATAATAATAGACCACTTGACACTTTCACCGAATAGACTACCCCAATTTGACATTATATTTTCGATAGTTGCCTAGTTAGTGCAAGGGGTTATCCATCAGTGTCTAGGGGCCGGATAGCCTCTCCCTCACTGGCTTTTTAGTTAGCGCGAAGTTAGGACCAATTATCGGGATAGCATGGAAGAGCCGAAATCTCTAACCGGAATGTAAATCGATTCGACGCCTCAGCTTCACAGAATGTCTCGGGGGAATCGTCCCAATATCTTTTTTCGATTTTAAGGTCATGGGTTCGAATCCCAAGATGGTTTCCATTTTTATTTTTCTTCTTTTTTCTTGTTTTTAAGTCAAACGGTCAAATAATTTCATATGACTGATTTCATGAAGTAATACCAGTTTTATGTTGACAGTCTTATATGTTTCTTTTCAGTTTTTATTCCAATTTGTCGRGCATGGCACATAACAAGGGTGTTGCAGTTGGGTAAACAGAGATGTTTCGCCAGATCAATGGCCGAACAACCCGCAAAAGTTCACAACAACACTGAACTATCMAACATCAGAGTTTTCAACTTTTTTTGTTACTATTTCAAACTTTTATATTGAGCTTGTTTAGATATTTGATAGAACTGGTTCAATTAAAATTAAACTGTTTAAGTTTTGAATTTTATATTTTTCTAGCTTGATACCATGCAAATRYAATGCCRCGGGAGGGGTTTTTATCACACTTATCGTACTACGTTTCGCTAGCGACACCCATTTTCAGCTGCAATTRAAAGGGGTGTGTCGTTTCATTACAATGGCATAGGGGTGGCAATATCAACGCCAATATCGCACGTACCGAATTCAATGCAAAACTCTGCTCATCATCACCTCATTTACATTAATTCAGTACATGTAAGATTCGTCGTTTTACAGAAGAATATTTTCTCCTTGCGCCATGCGACCCCTAATAGTGCATAATGACAGAGGGATGGGAGAGTCGCAACCCAATAACCGYCATCCCGTTTGCTAATGAAACCTTTATTCTAGTTAAGAACGCAAGCGTTAGCACAACAATTCCATTATAAAATTCCAATTGTACAACAATCCGCTTCGAATATTTTTGATAGGAATTGAACCAGGAAACATCTATAACACAAAATGTAAAGCTTCTTAGCAATTTATTTTCATTGTTTTTCATTTATTTCATAAATTCAGTGTATTCATTTCCACTTCGGGCTCATGTATATCTATAATTCAAAACAAAATGGAGCTCGACATAAAATCCATTACATTTATCTACATTTGCTAAATTGTTTATAAGGATTTTGAATGCTGAAGTTTTACTAAAATAAAGTCTTTGCTAATGTTAAGAAGTAGCACAAGGCCCTGGTGAGTGAAGGTCATCTCTTTGAGCTGCGATGGAATTAAAAAGAGTCCTACATTGATGGTTTTCAACCATTCCCAGGAGAGAAAGTTAAACAAAAGATGTCCACCATTGCTGGTGGACCTGACAAAAGAAAACCACCACCGTGACTGGTGGACCTTCTTGTTTTGCTCACTCTCATGGGAATGGTTGAAAACCATCAATATGTCGCAGAATCTCCTTGAGCTTTCAGAACGAATCTACAATAGTCCAAGGACCCTGAAGCATTTCCATTCTTCTAGCACATAGATTTTCAATGGTCTCCTTGTACTTTGATATTAGGATTTGACATGGGATCTAATAGAGGATCTCTATTAGCAGTGCTGCGACCAACACGTGTGAATATAACAACAATCGTAACAAATGCTAAAATCACTAGAAAAAACACCATCATAGTTCTCTTTAAGGATGCATTTGGGTCATCGATCAGTTGGCCTTTGGGTTTATTTACCCTGGTCCTGAAAGAAATGAAAATAAAAACCTTGAATCAGTGACAAAAATAAATGCGTTTTAGGAAGAAAATTTATTCTCTTATAGGCTTTCTTCAATCAGATTTATTAAGTGGACGACTGATGCTTCCCTCCCCAAACTCTGTCTTATAGACATCAGCACCAGGCTAGTTGGGTACTCCCTTTAAAAAAGAATGGGAGTGCTTGCAAAAAAAAAAATGCAAATTGACCCCCGAAAGGGACTTGCATYTTACAGTGATCAACCCTTGGTACAACCAAACTCTGAGTGTTATCTTACCTGAACCATCTAGTAAACCAATCAATTGCTCCTCGTCGTTGATATTTATTTTCGTCATGGTCCTGTTGAGGCTGTTGTAAGTTATCTTGTCTTTTATCCAATGTTTTTCGAGATACGGTACCTTGACAAACAAACAAACAGAGTCTTCAAATAATATATATTTATATCACCCATGCCCGGGAATCGAACCCAGACTACAGTGGTGAGAGGCCAGAAACTTAACTACTAGACCGYCCGTGCCATCTACAGGTGAATGAAAGTGATGAATACAGCATCAGTAGATTATCGAAATTATTAAAGTATACCTGTTTGTACATGTGTCTGTTGGGTGGATAGGCCTGGTGTTTGTTGGTTCATTTGAATCACATGGTCTCTTTGTGGTCGCTGTTCAACTCTTGATGCAGTTGGTGTAGTGAAGTATGAATCAGGTTGCACCTTGGCTTGAAGTGAAGCTGTTTATCCATAATCATAAAAAAATATTAAAAGCAGGAACTCTTTTATCAAAGTCATTATTGTTTACAGTCCTTTTATGAAAATGTTGTTATGTGAGTTAGAAAATTGAATTTTATGACAGCATGCACATAATGTTTAATAGGTATAAAAGCCAAATTTTTYTTCAATTTAGTTCTACTGACCAGCTTCTTCTCTATGAAGAGGTTCTTGGTTTGMKGTTTGGTGTTGTTCAGGAGATGGTGTTGGAATCTACAAGAATCAAAACATTGAACATTTGATAAACAATGAGCATGTCATGCCTAAGTTATGTGACACATATGTAAGATTTAAAGAAGGTTTGTCAATGCCAAATTTCTACACAACTCACCACAGGAAGRCCAAGYCCTGCTCTGGCCCAYTGTAAACTAGACAGTTTATGTCTTAGCTGGTCCACTACTGGAGAAACCATTTTTTCTGGTGGRAATATTGTGTTCTGCAACATTTGATATTTATTGCACTGTCAAAATAGTTAAATAATTTGAATGTTCATTATCTTACAGTATTCTCATCAATAAAAGTAGATAAAAGATGACTATTTTACAATCGTGGTACCAAAATACCTTGAACTATACAATTATTTTTCTTTAGCCTATAATTTTCTCCTTTCCTTTGTCACATTTCTCCCCCTTAGCCCCCTTTCATCAATGAGTCTTGTTTTGGATGTTTGTGTGCTATGGTAACATGCTCAACAACAACATTGCACTTAGGGGGATATTGGGGGTTTAAAATTGTCTGCTGGTGTTGCTTAAAATAAGAAAATTAAATTGAGTGGTCAAAGGATTTTGGTAACGATTGTAGATWCACTTATATATCTTGGAGAGGGTCCTATTAGTACTATTATAATTGTATTGTTTACCATCATATATTTATTACTTTAATATACCTTACAATTAGGACAAGTGTAACCTGCAGGGGCTGTATTTGGAGGAAGACTTTGTGAGAATTTATCAATGCATGCCAAGTGAAAAACATCTAAATGAAAAAAGAACAAACATTGTTACTCTTAATGAAGACTTGTGTCCAGTTGTTACTCTCTTGTTTTGGTACACTGCAAAGKATTTTATATCATTTTTCCTTGATTTATAACATGACTGACATATATGAAACGCATCTTACATCGATAAAGCTTGTCAATAATGTATTATAGCGTYAACCCTCGCCTTTCGGACACCCCCACTACAACAGACACTTTGATATTGCGGACAATAAAATACTGGAACCCAGGCGAAAAATACAAAGAAATGACTGAAAGTAACTCTCGTTACTACAGACTCTCGCTACTGCAGACACTAAATTACGCTCGCTCCCGAGGGTGTCTGTAATAGTGAGAGTTCACTGTAGTTTTAAATCATAAAGATTAAAGAAGAAATTCMTGCTAAGATATGAGCACATTAATGATGTGAAAGGAAAATTTAGTTAGTCAAAAAACATCCAATCAAAAACAACTCAAACGTTTGTAAGATCCTGACATACCATAACATACAAGTCTGATAACATCTCCTTCTGCTARACTACCATTGCACAGTGTACAAACTGGGTTGTAGTCGCTGTCTTGTAGCCAGTGAAGATAAGACTTAACAATACACTGAATAACAAAAACAGTATATAAACTGCCTAGTAGTTAAGCTTACAAGCTTAAGTTATGTGAATTTATTATGGGGAGGGAATTACTGTAAAGACATCGAGGATCATAAAGGATCGATTATAAGCAAAATACATAGGGAACGTTGACTCTCTAATTAAATTGAATTGATACAGTCAATGCATGTTTAAATAACGTTCATTTGCCAACAAAACAAAAGTAAGTAACGTTTCAAAATGGATGCAAAGAAGGTCAACTCACCCGWGGATGGTTCGACACAAGGCAGTGTTCACACACATTTACGCGATGTTCAAAGCAAAATTGATTGGTGACCTTCTTCTTGGGACATTTGCAAAGTCCCATCTTTGGTTTAGTTGTGGAATTGTAGTGTTTAAGATARATCTAGATGATTTWATATCGTAAAAACTTCACATCATTTGTCTTGCCACGTCGCCATTAAAACGGAGCTACAAAGCAGCCAAGCCTTGTTGTTAATTTAMAGKATGGGTTTCCTGTGTGCTGTGATACCACAGGGAAACCAGTCACAAAAACTATTTTGGGATAAATGAATTTTTAGTTAATTGTCTATTTTATTGTTATTATCACTTAAATCAATATATCTATTTTCATTGAAATAATTATTTTTATTTAAAGTRTCCCGGACAAGGATTTAGGAACATTTTGATGGCCCTCGAACTACGTACTGGAACCATACTCATATAAAATGGTAAAATCCCGCATAAACTCGTCCAATCAAATCCCGCTGCCTCATGTTATTTCGCAACTAGACGCCCCTGGGGCGTGAAGTCGGACTAGCTATTTTTGAAAATTGATAGACACGAGTGAAAAGATTATGATGTTATATTCTGTCTAATCATATGATTATATTATCAATGCAAATGAAACTTGAGAAAAACAGGAGGACATTACATAAAATATACAAATTAGATTAAAATATATATTTCTTAATTTTTCTCCAAAATAGCCGAACTCGCGGCCTAATAAGAGCGTCTAGTTCAAAATATCCAAACTAAAATAAACTTGACCTAAAAGGTCATGTAATTAATATAGCAATGAACGTTTTAAAAGAGCCCCTTGCTTTCACTGATAAAATCAAACGTGCTATGTAGACGTGATAACGTTGACCTCTCAGGCCAAGAAAATACTTTACAAAGTAAATGATACCTATAAAATCATTAAACTCGCCTTTTTTTATTGATAAAAAATATATATATTTCGATATATATTTCGAAATCAATGAAATGAAAATAAATTAAACATCCCATTAAAAAGTGAAAAGCACATATGATAGAATCGAATTATGACAATTTAACCCCATTGAATCATCAAACAAGCGATAGGATGTCAGAGTAGACAGTATCGGATTTCAAATTCACTATGGCTTTTAGATTGAGTTTGAGATTGGTGCTCGGGCTTCCTTACAGAAATTCCCAAAATTCGAAAACTCGAAATCACTGAAATATCCCATTAGAAAGTGAAAAACACATATGATACAATCGAATTATGATGTACAGCATCGTTCTAGACCTCATGTTGTAAGAATTACTTGCCCGGGTCGCATGCGATGGTTGCGGGCAAAAGTTGTGACCGTCCAAATCGATGTCCTTTATGAACAGATTTTTTTCACTATTTTTATGATTCAATGAGGTCTATTTGTCATAATTCGATTGTATCATATGTGTTTTTCGCTTTGTAATGGTATATTTCAGTGATTTCGAGTTTTCGAATTTTGGGAATTTCTGTAAGGAAGCCCGAGCACAAATCTGAAGCTGAATGTGAAAGCMATAGTGAATCTGAAATCCGATACTACTCGGGCCTCCTATCTGAAATCCTTTCACTATTTTGATGATTCCGTGAGCTCTATTTATCATAATTCGGTTCTATCATATGTGCTTTTCACTTTCTAATCGGATCTTTCATTCAAATCGAGAGAAAGAATTCGAACTGAAAATATATTTGTTGGAAATTTCAGGGAAGCCCGAGTCTTCGAGTCTTCATCTTCTGCTGTAGTGAAAGTCCTGAGTTCGAGACCTGCTGCTGGAATTTCTATTTTTTTCACTTGTTTCTTTTTGGTTCGTTTCTTGTTTTATTTTCTTCTTTCTTCTTTTTTCTTTTTGTGTTGCTACTTTGTTTGTTTATCTCTAATAGAGATTTTATGTTATTTTCAAGTTAAAAATATCATCAAGGACTAGCATGGAACGCCTGCTAGAGATGGATGGTTACGGTTCGATCACTCATCAATATGACTAGTGACAAGAGGCCCTATACATAAGACCTTTCGAAATCAATGAAATGAAAATAAATTAAACATCCCATTAGAAAGTGAAAAGCACATATGATAGAATCGAATTATGACAAATAAACCACATTGAATCATCAAAAAAGCGATGTCAGAGTAGTATCGGATTTCAGATTCACTATGGCTTTTACATTGAGTTTGAGATTGGTGCTCGGGCTTCCTTACAGAAATTCCCAAAATTCGAAAACTCGAAATCACTGAAATATCCTATTAGAAAGTGAAAAACACATATCGTACAATCGAATTATGATGTACAGCATCGTTCTAGACCTCATGTTGTAAGAATTACTTGCCCGGGTCGCATGCGATGGTTGCGGGCAAAAGGTGTGACCGTCCAAATCGATGTCCTTTATGAACAGATTTTTTCCACTATTTTTATGATTCAATGAGGTCTATTTGTCATAATTCGATTGTATCATATGTGTTTTTCACTTTGTAATGGTCTATTTCAGTGATTTCGAGTTTTCGAATTTTGGGAATTTCTGTAAAGAAGCCCGAGCACAAATCTGAAGCTGAATGTGAAAGCCATAGTGAATCTGAAATCCGATAGTACTCGGGCTTCCTATCTGAAATCCTTTCAATATTTTGATGATTCCGTGAGCTCTATTTATCATAATTCGGTACTATCATATGTGCTTTTTACTTTCTAATCGGATCTTTCATTCATTTCGAGAAAAAAATTCGAACTGAAAAAATGTTTTGGACATTTCTGTTAGGAAGCCCGAATTATAAGCGAACATCTTCGGACGTTTAATAAGACTAATAAAGACGAGACTGCGCTATGACTGTGGCACTGAAGCTATTATAGAGCGGATTTCATATGAGTGAGAAACGGACAATAAAAACAATAAAACAACTTTAGTGATTGACGTGTAACGATCTTGATGGGCTTCCTGTGTTTTTATGCTCGTTCCCAGGGCTTCTCTTCTGCCTTTTTTGTAAGGCCTTGGGAACGAAGGCTTGGGGTACGAGATCGTGTTTTGGAGGGAGTGCAGAGGAGTGAGTGAGTCATGAAGCAGGGGAAAATTCCCTTGCAAAACATTTGTAATTATTTCATTAGCTTTCATTGAATACCTGTGACGTTGATAATGTAGCCAAATGTAACTTTTGGTAGAGATTTTCAGCTTTAGTAATGGATGCAGTTGGGAGAATTGTGAACGACAACAGGACACTTCTTTTACTCGTCCTTGTTGTCGGTTCTCTGTTTTGGTATCAAAAGCAAGTCTTTATTGCCGAGCAAGAGCAAAAGCATTCCCTGCATCGCTGGTTAAAGGAACAAGGGTTAGACGAATATATAAATAATCTTAATAGAGCAGGTAAGTTGATTCTTCGTAGTTTTGCGCGCTTTTGTACAAATATAATAATATTAAAGTATACAGCTCTTGAGTTCCTTGCGTAAGCAGTTTTACGTGGTTTTTGGATTTCATTACCCACAAACCTGGACGTCTTCCAGATACGTCTTATAAATGGTTCATAACTGATTTGTAAACGTTTTAATTAAGAGTTTCCATGTAACAAAACTGGACAAATATTTTAGAATCAAAGTGATTATTAGCTTAACTGATTACGTCATGGAAGACGTGATTGTATTAAAATGAAGAAATGAATGGATGAATAAATAAATATATTGATGTTGAACTGGATGAACTTGGAACTTAAAGGGACATGGTCCACCAGCATCCCTTTTGAGCTTTTGTTTATACATCGTAATATAAGCAAAAACTTACTCTTGATTGTTCCTTTATCCTATATGAATGGAGATGCTTTAAGATTCGACCATTAAACCGATCGGATTGCAAATGGATATTCGAAGTCACCTCATTTTCCATATATGAAAAATCTAAAACACGACCGCATTGCATGCTAGTGGACCATGTCCCTTTAATGTATAAAAAATTCTGACAATGAAATAAGTTTGTGAAACGATTGTACGTTATTGTTTAATTTCATGAAATGTTTGTAATATGCAAATGATAAAGTGTATGTAAATAAAAAAATACAGAGTTTTAACACTATTCCATAAGTATTTACTGTAGAAATTATGTATGTTATCTTATTTCATTAGTCTAAGTTCATAAGATGTATCATCAATAATTTTATTTTTCTATTGAAGGTGTCAAAAATAAAGAAAACTTTTCAAAACTTGATATATCAAAGTTCCTTCACAAGTACTTCCCAAATCTACATGGAAAGAAATACTCAAATTCTTACCATAGACTTGAAATTCACATTCTCAAGTTACAGAATCACTTGAAAATATTTTACTGGTTAGAGCACAATGGCCTTGAACAATATCTCGATGTGCTGGTGGATTTAGGATACAGTGACATGGATGATATCAAAGAAAATTTGACCCAGGAGACAATTGAGAAAATCACTAGATATGAATTTACAAGAAATCACCTTTCAAGGTTTGAATATGCTCTCACAAAGTTAAGAACAGAAGAGACAAGTAGACCTGGAGGTTTCTGGTTTAGACTGTTGCATTATCCTATTTATATTTTCTTGCGGGTTTTCTGGTTTATTGTGTGGATTCTTAGAATTGTAGGTAAGAAAGTATGGCATACAGTCAACTGTCATTATAATGGACTAGGGCTCGAAATAACGGCCAGATATATGCAGGACAAGATGTCCTTCCAAATTCATTTTTAAATTCTTTTTTTTTTTTTTTTCAAGTTTTGAAAGGACAAAAAAGAAAGGTCAGCAAGCATTTTAATGGCTTGTAAAAGATTTATTTAGCGAATTGAGAATTGATTTGTCTAAAATGTGGCAGGTCAATTTGTCCTTTCAAAACCTGATTTGGTTGGTCATCTAGCAAATTTGGAAGGACATGTCTGAATAGTTTGAGATAATCTTACCAAAGTATACTGACACATATTTAACTTGGTGTTGTTGTTTCAGTGAAGGCAATGGGGTTTCTCTTGTTTTCACTATATCTGATATTCAAAGTATCTTCAATTGTACGGAAAACTCGAAATGAATGTCAGCGCCGTAAGACAACTTTGTTGAACTATGCCATTGGGAATTATCTCTATGCAACGAGGACAAGAATACGATGGCACTGGAGTGAGCCTGCTACAGTTGGACAAACAATGACTTTTGTAATTGAGGTAGTATTATGAATTTTACTTCTTTCAGTATAATTGATATAAATGTTAATAAGTTAAGGTGACTTTTGAAAGTCAAAGTATTTCAAATTTTACTCAGTAATCTCCTTCACACTTGGCTATCTTGTTTATAACATTGACYGTATAAGGTGAGACRACYGTTGAGCATGCAATTGCCTGTGGTTTATTGCCTACAGATGTAAAAATGTTGTCATTGCTTACCAGGTGCCTCTCTAACYTACCTGTCAAAATTTCACTGAATAGGCRATATGCATTATGGCRTCATTTACTACAMCTACCAGAATGCTTTGMCAACTTTCTTTTGTAATGCAATTAGTGCCAATTGTTTTATWAATYTCCAAGGGGATTAAAAATCTGAATAACAATGAAAATGCGCAAGGCTCTCTGGTAGTTGTAGTAAAGTTATCTCATAATGCAAACRGCCTATTGTGAAGGGGACTAATGCCCAGTCAAGAAAACAAGGATTAAAGTAAAAAAGCTATATTTTTTCACTTGTTGTTGGCATTATCTACTTCAGTTCTATAGGTATAATTGGTTAAGTTACCCAGTAGATGAAAGAAGTGGAATATCAATTGAGATTCTCCACAAAGGAAGCATAGTGGCTACATCCTGTGACTATGGTGGATTAGCAGGCAGCAGTAACTTAAGAAGCAACCAAGTTAAAGTGATGTTTACTGTGCGTCAGGCTGGTGAATACAGYATATCAGTAATGCTTGTTGGAGACCACGTCAGTGGTAGTCCTTTTACTAAACTTTTCTTGCCAGGTATACACGACTTTCAAAAATGGCGGCATCTCACGGTCGGCTCTCGAGGACTGGTGACGAATTACATGGAATCGAGGTCTTAAAGGCCTCATTCCATAAACAAACATGTCGCACGTAAATAAATAAATGTCGGTAACAACTCAATTTCTTAATCTTTTTCTCAGTGTCACACAGTCACTACCTTATCATGTACAGTTTCAGTACTCATTACACTCTTTGTCTAAAACTTGTTTTTTCCGTTTTTGTTTTTGTTCTTAATGAGAGCTTTCATATTTTTCCTCAGTCCTATCAGAATACTTTTCTTCTCCTACGTTCAAAATTTTAATGAATCAAATGTTGACTYGTAAGATTAATATTAATTTAAAGTTAAAAAAGGCAAAATAAAGTGTTTTATTATCAAGCAWCAACTTTCCTTGATTTTGAATAGTCAACTTTAGATATTTTGGTTTGATGACTATGACAAAAGAATGCACACGAGGCTCTGGGAAAACAATGGATAATCTTGATTTATTCTTTTATTTTCCCGGAGCCTCGTCTGCAATTCTTTTGAGCATGATCACTGAACCAAAATATCTAAAGTTGGCTATTGTACATATTATGTATTTCATCAGGACCTGTAGATGCATCCAAGTGTTGTGTAGTTGATAAGTTATCCATGGTGGTAGTTAAGAAGGATACATACTCTCCATTATTAGTACAAGTTAAAGACAAATATGGGAATATATGCGCTCTTAATGATGAAAGTGATTTATCAAAGTTTAAAGTGGATATAAAAAGGGTAAATGACATATTTAAAATCATCCTAGACATTTTACGTGGGACATTGCAATGTGTTATCATTACAATTTGACAACACAACAGCCACTTAGTACAATAACCTGTCCCCTGGGCCCTTGTACAATGTTGAGTGGCTATATTTTCATTTGTTTCTTTCTTGCTTCAGTACCATGACATTGTGTGTGAGGACAACATTGATCAGTTGGGGGGAGGGGGGAGGGAATGTAATGCCATCTCTTCAGTAGAAACTAGCAAGATGTATTAAATCGAATAACTGTTTATCATGTTCAAATGTATATTGTCCATGATTGTAGTATATYGAGTGTATCGGAATGTGTATCAAGTTTATTCAAATTTCTGTGTCTATCTGCATTTAGCCTTTCTTGTACTGTATATGAACATCCCTCAATGATTTATCAATGATTTATTGCTTGATAGATTGGAAGTACTCATTCAGTAGACCCAGAACTGTTTGTAGATACTTCAGAAATCCCTGTGGCTAATGTTTTGCACATCAAGCTAGAAGAAGAAGGRTGTTACATTGGTGTTATAACTTATAATGATTGTCCTATTGACAACAATGCCATCACTATTTTATCCCTTACCAGTAAGTATGTATAACCAGGGTGAATTTAAAGCTTTTGTTTATTTGTTCTTTTGGGTTTATTAAGCAGAGTGTGGTTWTATAYTTTTATCTCTGYAGTAGACAGGGTTCATGTCTCTTCTTGACATCCTTGAAAAGGCATGCAATTGTAAACTTGTTTTTAAGGGCACTTSAAAAGCWCTTGGAAARCACACAAAAAWTCYYCKTGARTRTKTTWYWKTYWTSWTKTTTTTTTWYWMTWWTWTTT